CTCTAATATCTGTTGCCCTACAAGAGCCTCTCTGTAAATTCTCTAATTTCATTATCTATATAAAGGACCCTTGGGGTAGGGTTGAAGTATCCATTTCTTCACCCCAGAATTCTGTATTCTCCTCTGGGTTTGTTGACATGGTATCAGAGCAGGCTGCTCGGTAATTTCTATTCTTTCTTTGCTTACTCATTGGCCATATCAGGGGTACTGTTTTCTGGGTGTTTCGACTGGTGTTAGGGCTGTGCTCTTCAACTCTAATCCTAGTTCTCTGTGGAGGCTTCTGTCCAGTGTTAGGGCTGTGCCCAGATCTGTTTTTTCTCACTCAGAAAATCTGTGGGATCCGAAAAGTCTTGGGGGAGTTCTGACCTTCTCTTCTGGGCGGCAGCAGCCTTCTTTATCCTACTGTGAACTGGTTCCTCCAGGGTGGCAGCAGCCTGGCTTCTTATGGTTCAGTTTTTAACAACAGCAGACTAAGAAATCTCAACAGTCTGGCTTCTTTCTCCTTCAACGGCAGCAGTTTCGAACTGAGGAACTTCAACAGACATAAGGTCATTTTTTCAAGCTGATTTGGAAAACTTCTCATTTCAGGTTGGTGTATCAACATTATTGTCTTAATCGACTATTATCAGTCCTTGGAACCCTAGTTTTGTGCTGCCCTAGGGTATTTTCTTCTCTCGGTTACCAGTCCTTGGAACCCTAGTTTGTGCTGCCCTAGTTTTGTGTTGTTCTGGGTTGTTTATTGGAGGATTTTGATTCCTCTATAAAGTTTTCTTGCTGATGTTTTTCTAGATTGGTGTTGTTTGCATATCATGCTTCAGCCCTGATGTTAATTTCTTTTGAGAAATACAGTGTTCGGATGAAGTAATTCACTGCCTTGTTCATTGCTGATTTAAGTGCATTGATTAACATTGCAAACATCAGTGCTGCTATCCTTTTCCCTAGGTTGATTTTGCTCATTTATGATGGCTGAAAAGATTGACTTTCTCCTTTTAAAATTTGATGGAACTAACTACAATATGTGGAAGTTCCATTTCAATTTCTATGTTGAGGGAAATGGACTTGAAGGTTACTTGAATAGAACTGTATGTAAACCTGATGGGGCTGATAGTAAAACCTATACACAATCAAAGCTAGACAATAGAAAGTTAGTCTCCTGGATTTTGAGCTCCATTGTGCTCCACATTAGTATTCCCATGAGAAGACTGAGAACTGCCTATGAGATGTTCTGAAGAAGGTTTATCATCAGTCCAATATGTCACGGCAATACCAGATTGAAACTGAGATCTTTGCCTATTGCCAGGGGACAAAAAGATACAAGAATACTATGCAGGCTTTATTGATCTCTGGGCTGAATATGAACTAGTTCATATTGAACCTTTTGATCCCATTACGTGTGTCAAGTATTTGCAGAAGCATTTTGAAAATAGAAAAGTGAACCAGTTTCTCATGAGGCTGAGACCTGAGTATGAAAGGATTAGGTCAAATATTTTGAGAAGAGGAACTCTTCAAGACTTAGACTCTGTGATGGGAGAGTTATTGAGGGAAGAAACTAGACTCCTAATTGCTGCAAACATAGAAGAGAAACATCTTGATTCAAGGACTGATACTGTTTTTCTTGCATGAGGGAATAAGAAATCTGGTGGAAAAGACCCTTCTAACTCAATGCTATGAATGTAAGGGGATATGGACAAGTGTCTGATACCTCTATTGCCAAGGGAGAATCCTCTGCTTCCATGAATAAGGAAGACATACAGCAATTGGTATCCTCTTCTATCTCATCTGCCTTTTCTGTTATTGGCCTATCTGGTAAGTTCTTTGGTTATTGCTTTTCTCCCTCTCACGTTTGGGTAATTGATTTTGATGCTACAAATCATATGACTGGGGCCTATCCTGAACCCTCAAACAGACCGTCAGAGACCAACCATAGACATATTGTCACTGCTAATGGTGAGAAACTTGACATCATTGGGAGTGATGATTTGTGTATCAAACTTTCCCCCTCAAACTCCTTGTCCCTTGCTAAAACTTTCCTTGTTCGTAAACTTATTGCTAACCTTATTTCGTTGGTCAACTAGTTGATGATGGTCACATTTTAACCTTTTCCTCTTATGGTTGTTTTATTCAGTACCAATGCACTAGGAAGGTGAAAGGGAAGGGGTATAGGATGGGCCACTTGTTTGTGTTGGAGTTTGAGAAATCACAATCAGCATCATCCTCTGCTTATTCATAGTGATGTTTGGACTTCATCTGTTGTTTCTCAAATGGGATACAAGTATTTTGTGCTATTCATTGATGACTGTACCAGGTACACTTGGATCTACTGTCTCAAACACAAATCAGAAGTTTTTCCAACATTTCGGTTATTTCATAACACGGTTTGAGTTCGGTTTCAAGCGAATGTGCAGGCCTTACACTTAGACTCAGGGGGAGAATTTCTGGTTTATTTAAAGCATCATGGCATACAAGTCCAATAATGTTGTCCAGACACTCCTCAACAAAATGGTGTGGCTGAAAGAAAGAATAGCCACATTATCAATGTTGTAAGGGCTCTTCTACAAGAGTCACACACGCCTCCCACATTTTGGGTAGAGGCTGCTAGCACGACAATGTATCTGATCAATTGTATCCCATCTTCTGTTCTTGCTAACATATCTCCTCATCAAAAGATGTTTGGAACCCCCCCAAATCTTTCCCATCTTTATGTCTTTGGGTGTCTATGCTTTGTTCATCTTCCTCCTCGTTAACGTTCAGAGCTTTCAGCTTAATCTGTCATGTGTGCTTTTATGGGAATATAGCCCTAACCACAAAGGATTCCTTTGTTATGATCCCTCGGCACATCATATTCGTATTTCTCAAAATGTGATTTTTCTTGAGCATATCTCCTTTTCTTTAGGAATTGCCAAGTTATCTGCACCCTTTGTTTTAGTTTTGCATGATTTTGAATCACAGGATACTCTGTCGTCCACTACCGAGAAGGATCTTCACATCTTCTCTCGCAGGCTGATTCGTGGTCCAGCTCCTACGCCTACGAGCCCTCTTCCTCCTGGTCTGGATCCTTCCCCATCACAGACAACCCTGTAAGTAACGCTCCAACTTCAGATTCCTTAATTGTTCCTCCTCTACCTTTGCATCGTTCTACTCGTATCTCTAAACCACCTGACCACCATGGTTTTCCTTCAAACCATAGCTCCTTCTCTATTGTTTTGTCCTCTACAGATATTCCCCGTTCTTATCAGCAGGCCAGTAGTAGCCCTTAGTGGCGAGATGCCATGGATGCGGAGATTCAAGCTTTGCATGAGAATCACACCTAGGACCTTGTCCTAGCACCTTCAGATGGCTCTATTATTGGGAGAAAATGGGTCTATTTCATCAAGCTGAACCGGATGGGTACTTGGACCGTTACAAAGCCAGGCTTGTGGCACAGGGATATCCATAGGAGTATGGCATTGACTATGAGGAGACATTTGATCCAGTGGCCAAGATTACTACTATCTGTGTTCTTTTAGCCCTCTCTATTGCACATTCTTGGACTATCTTTCAACTAGCCATGAAAAATGCTTTTTTACATGGGCATTTAAAGGAAGCAATATATATGAAACCTCCTCCTGGGTATTGTAGTGATCCCTCCCTCGTTTGTCAGCAAAAAAAATCCCTCTATGGGCTAAAGCAAGCCCCTCGAGCTTGGTCGAAAAAAATTAGAGATGTTGTCGTGCAAGTTGGGTATAGCCAAAGTCCGTCGGACTACTCTCTCTTTGCCCGGAAAAGGTCTCAAGGCCTTACCATTCTCTTAGATATGTGGATGTCATATTGTTGAGTGGAGATGAAATAGAAGGAATTCAGGACCTCAAGTCTCTTCTACACAGTTCCTTTCACATGAAAGATCTCATCCCTCTTAACTATTTCTTGGGACTTGGAAGTTCAACGGAGCTCCCAAGGTTATTTTGTTTGCCAACACAAGTATGCCTCTTGTCTTCTTAAGTTGGCCAACCTTACTGATGATAAACGAGTTGATACTCCCTTGGAGCTGAATGTCAAATTATCCAAATCAGAAGGCTCCCTGCTTCCTGATGCTTCCCTCTATCGACAACTTGTAGGGTCTCTCATCTATCTCACCATGACTTGTCTTGACATCTCACATGCAATTCAAGTTGTTAGTCAGCTTGTCTCTACCCCTCGTCAACCTCATTTAACTACGGTGCATCAAATCATCAGCTATGTTTGGGGCTCTTTATCACAGGGTCATTTCTTCTCTTCATCTTCTTCTATCCAACTGAGGGCCTATGCTGATTATGATTGGGCTGGATGCCCTGACACATGCCGCTCCACTACTAGGTGGTGTGTCTTCATGGGTGACTCTAATATCATGGAAATGCAAGAAACAATAGATTGTTTCCAAGTCCTCTACGAAAGTAGAGTATAGGGCAATGTCATCTGTTTGTAGTGAAGTTGTTTGGCTCCAATCTTTATTTTAGGAGTTGGGTCATTCCACTCCTACACCCATTGCTCTGTATGCAGACAACACTAGTGCTATTAACATTGCCTTTAATCCTATCTTTCATGGAAGGACAAAGCATATTGAGGTGCACTGCCACTTTATCCGCGACCTGTTTCTTGCGAACTCTATCTCTCTCCCTCATGTTGCCTTTGATATGCAAGTTGCTGACATCTTCACAAAGGCCATGACGAGGTCTAGACACTTATTTCTAGCAAGCAAACTGATGCTCATGCCTCTACATCAGTTTGAGGGGGAGTGTGAAGAAACTCCTTGATGTACCATATTACTGTAGTTCATATTGTATTGTATCTCTTGTTTTATTATTTTCTCTTCAGCCCTGCAAGGGCCTCTTTGTAAATTCTCTAATATCTGTTGCCCTACAAGGGCCTCTCCACAATTATCTTGTGTGAAAAAAAAAAGCATACAGCATGATTGCAAGTATGATGCCTTTACGTATACAAATCTAATGTACACAGTAGAACTTTGTCATCAATTTCCAACTTACTTGAACATGAGACACATATGACAAGCCAGCACCTTCAATAGTCAAAAGAAGCCCATGCAAAGACCAGAGTTGTAATTCAGCATTTGCACTTTTAGCCAATAAAGAGATTGAGCTCACAGTGGCAGGCACCAAAGTTGACAATGCCATTCCTCCCGCGCTGCATTGAAGATGGATCAAATGAAATCAACTGTATGAGAAATAAAAAGGGACAAAAATAAAAAGTGAGCTTCAAAGATAAATGAGCATGTCCAGAAAGTACTTGACTGAAAATAATGGCTTAATCCAATGGCAAATGGCAATACAGGAATACTATGAGAGAGTTAAGATTGCTGGCAAGGAACCTAATTCTCAGCTACAATTGGAGTCACAAACCATCCAATAAATTGGCTCATGTGTAGGCAAAAAGGACAATGGATAGAGGAAAATTTGTTTGGGGAAAACTACAAAATAGCAATGTATATTGTGTAATATCGGTGGTACAAAAAAAGGGTAGGAAACCTTGGTTGGTCTAAGTGGGGATGTTTGACATCTGTAAATATTTTATTCATTCTTTATTCTAATCAATAGTCATTTCACCTAACAAAAAATAAAATAATAAAGAAAGAGCTGGAGTAACTTATTCCTTTGCTGTGATACAACTAGCTATATTTATACTTTTTTTGCAGGAACATTTAACAGCTCCTAAAATGAAGAAAAAAAATCAGTAATATAGGTATTACTCTAGTACCTAGGTTCATTTCGTCCAAGTAAAATGGAACATATAAACTTGTTTATTGCCAAGCCCTTCTCTAATGATTAAGTTTAGAAGAAAAAGTTCACAGGGCCACACTTAGGTTCAGGGGTAGACCGGTAGAGTTAGAAATGCATGAAAGAATTACAAAATTAATGGATTTAATATGACTACCCCCCTTGCATATTTGAGAACCCACTAAAACGGAAGAATGTGGCAAAGATTCTTCAGTTCTATTTTTCAATCCGAAGAGTGAAATCTGGAAAGCAGTGAATCTGCAATTTCCATTTCCACCTAAATCCAAACAAGTCCCAACAGAATTGTCAACACCTTACCTGCGATGGATGTAGCCAAGTGCAAGAGCTATTGATCCTCTGTAACTCAAATCTGCAGCCCCAGCTAGATCGCCTAGAAGTGTTCGTGTCTAATCATAACAAAAGTAACTTCAGCCAAAAACAAAAATGAAACTAGGGTAACAAGTTGCAGAGGAAGCATATTGAATTTTGTTAACAGCACAACAAACACATGAAAACACAAATAGACACATGGTAACTAGCCCTGAGAAACATTGCTACAAAAAAAAAAAAAAGATGAACAAACCATTCTAGCTGTAAAGATATCATTCCCAAGTCGAGCTAACAGACCAAGACCTTCAGATGATGCCCTCCGTTGTGATGAGCAAATGTCTCCCTCGGCCAGAATATTCTAAAAGCAAGATAGAAAAATGGAAAGAGACATGGTGAAATTCCAGAAAATGTTTAATAAATAAAGAAACTCAACTAATAAGATTTTGCTAACACCAATTACATCTCTACCTGAAAGATTGCCTGTGCACAAGTTAATACTTCCACTCCCAAAGGTTGGGGTCTTAAAGCAAGTAAAGCCTAAGTAGGAACAGAACATTATTATGAGACACTGTAACAAGTAAAACAACACAATGTAAATTTCAAGTGAACAAATGGGGGATGATAACAACCTTAAACCCTGCAAGTAAGGCCACGCATGCATTGGTGATACTGGACGCATGCCAGGATTGTTTTTTGCCAGTTTTGAGACACTGCTCAATCATGCCAAGCAGTAACAACATCCCACTACTATCCTGGGATAGTACATTAAGTTTTCTTAGCAATATGTAGATGTGAAACCAACCACAAACACATAAGAGAGAGAAAGAAGGAGGCCAATGACTGCAACTACCTACCTGAGTGGCAAAAATTATTCCAAAGCAAAGGAGCATCTGATTTACCAGCATTTTGCCTATGGTTTCCGGCTTCATGGTCAAATCAAAATATTAGAATTGAAACTAAATGCAGCAAATATCGGAAAAAACAATCAATATGGTATTGGGAAGAACAAATCAACAAAGGTATTTAAAACAAAGCTTCCACAACTCAGCTCAACAATTTAAGAAAAAGTGTCCACATCATCATTAAAAATAAAACTTAGACTAAATAGAAACACCACATACTTAACCAAAACATTGCTGCCTTAGTCTTCAGTCAAAGCAAAGGAGCCATTACTATTAGATAATAAAATCAACTGCATTATAGATGATCCAGTGGTCACATAATTATTTGTGCCAACTGAAATTGGATAATGTCAACGAAGGGACTTCAGGCTCTTCTTGCCCACAAGCAAAATTTCCCCCAAGTCCTCTATGCTTCATTAAGAAATTCATTTGCAAATTTTACAGAAAAGACTCAGAGCATATTTATACCACTTGGCATAGAGACACATAATCTCAGTTCGATTCAATCAATGTTCTTAAAAAATAAATCTATCATACATCATAAGATTATTTCTTTTTCAAAAACTTGTCTAAAAACTGGAAGTAGATATACTAAAATTTAAATAATATATACAAAAGTGATTTTGCCCTACTTATAATCCACATCTGTCATGTATGTACCTAAAACAATATAATTTACCACTTGTACACTAGAAACCAAGATGATCTAGGTAAACTTGACTTGAACATAAAATAATCCACATACAATGACTCTTTAACCTACATATGATAGAAAATAAACACAAAATTATTTATAAAAGGTCTTGAATAACCTCATTAAGTCATTTTCTAGTAAAGGCTTTAAAACAAGTCTTACTTGACAAAACTAAATTGAAAAAAAGGAAAGAAATAACAAATTAGAGAACTTGATACGATAATGTATTGTATTGGTAAAAAATTAAACAAAAAGCACTTTTACAACTAGGGGCTGTATATTGGAAAACTATAAGATTTGAGTTGATTTGAAACTCGTGAGAAAATGAGCAGAAGAAACACTTAGGCAGTCCAGAGCATTATAATTATTAATTACAACATGCATAAATCGCAAGACTCACTAATCAAACTGTAGGATTCAAACAAAATTCATAATATTTTTTAGGATTCAAACATAAGATTGAAATCGGAAATCATGGAATTCATGATTTAAATCATGAATCATATTGTAAATTGTAAAATTTTAACACATTGGATTCAATACCATTGATGTTTTCCTTGGCATCCTGCTACACCTTGATAAAATCCACATATATCACAGTTTCACATAGTTATTGCTGACATCTCTGACTGCCACATCCTCATTGAAGTTCTCATAGTAGCATTCTCACAATGTTGCACTGCATCCACCATATCTATCCTATGCACTGTCACACTATCAAATTTATCCCCCAGACCGGGCTCCTCATCAGCTGAAGGTGATAGCCATTGGAGCAGTATCCTCTTCCAGATCGTCAGGGGCAATAATGACAAGCTTGGAAGCAATAGTCTTTGTATTGTTTGGCCAACCTAACTTATTTTTCACAGTCCCCTTGGATCTTTTTCAAGCATGCTGAAGTTAGTAACTCACACCTAGGCCTGCAGAATCTTCAATAATCTAAAACCTTTCCTGAACTGTAGCAATCAGTATACCAAAAATAGATTGTCAAAGTCTGCCAAAGTCCACAAGACCCTTTCTTTGAACCAGCATACCTGAAACCCCAGATTATGAGTCGAGCAGGTTGTAGATGAGCCACCATTTCTGGGTCCTCCCAATTCAATGGAGGACTCTGGAAAAACCTGTCCCTTTGAAACCTTTTATCTGCATGTCTGATGTCTGGTTTACATTTCCAAACCAAGACCCCCTAATTTATTTAAATACCTCCTAACAATACCATACAGCCTATATTTATCATCAGGTGCATGTCACTTAAGGGACCCAACCCCAAGTCCGCATCATCTGATCATCACCTTCTTCAACCTCTCAATTCTCACAGATCTTGAGATACTCTTCTTGGCAACCCTTCTTCTTCATGGAACTTTAGGTCTTCCATCTTTACCTCAGTAAGAGAGGCCAAGATCATAGGCCTCTAGTTCTCTATGCCTCAACATCTTGAGAACAAAAAGCCACTCTCCCTTGGCCTTATCCCCACCCTGAAATTTCTCTTGTATATGTCTGTTCACCTTCCACTACTACTCACAGTCACAGAGCATGGACACTCCCAACACCCTAACCCACCATTTTTTGCTAAAGTTGTTGAAAAAGCAATGACCAAGGTTGAAGATTGATAAAGTGTCTGCTATCAAAGAGACTCCTGGATGAGGTTGTAGATGGATATCTCCTTATATGTATTCCAATCTAATATAATGAAGAAAAGAAATAAAGAAAGAAAGAAAGAAAGAAAGAATGGGGTGAGATGAGTAGGAGGAATAGATATAGTCCTCCTCATAAAGGAGATTGTAGGAATATCATAATAAAGAGGTGTAGGAGGAAGACAGACTTCCCTACCTTCATCTTATTCTATCTTCTATGTTCTTCATGTCCCAATCTTCTCTTCTCCTTTCACTTGTCTCTTGTTGCCAGAAATTTTAGAAGTAGAATAGTATTAGCCAACACAATGGCATTAGCCCTACAAGCAGAGGAGTTTATATAGAGGAGGGAGGTGGTTAGGTAACTCTCAACCCCTCTTTTCCTATGGTGCCAGGTATCACCTCACTTAGAATGGCCTAAGGAGGGAAAAGTTAACTCGTTTTCCTAAGATGATGTGTGTCCTACCACTTAAAATGCTAAAAGAGGGAAAATAACCATCTTCCTAGGGTGACATGTGTCACCGGCTTGAGGCGAGAAAAAAAACACTCTCTTCTTAGGGTACCATGTGTCACCCCACTTAAATGGCCAAAGGAGGGAAAAGAACCCTCTCTTTATAGTTTCATAATTAATATAAATTTAATTTTTTAGGCCATGTTATCCCATTAAATGCACGCTACTGCAGGCCCATTAAATGCTTAATGATTCATTATTAAGGCCCAAATTAATTTAGGGCCTGCTGTTTGCTAAAATGGACAGCAGGCCCCTTTCTTTCTTAAATAAATTACTTCAGCCCACTCACACAACTAGGCTTAGAAGACCAACTTAAAAAAGGCCTATTTTTCTTTTTTTTTAAGCTGTGATTGGAAGTACTTTAATAAAATGCTCCCAGTCCAGAAAAATTCAGGACTTAACAGTAATCTATGCAAATGTGTAGAATGTAGGATAATTTATTAAGGAATAAGGTTTACCAAGTACAAAAAACAAACCACAATGAATCCACAAACCCATGGAGTACAGTATTAAGGACAATTGCATTGACTATATTGACCAATGAATGAAGGCTGTAAGAATCAAATAAGTAGTGGTATAACAATAACGATAATAACAGAAGAAAAATAATGAAATCAGATTAAATAGAATTTCTCAATCATAACTGAAATGAACTAATAAATGGAGAGGCAATTAGGTGAACAAACACACATTTGAAGAAAAACCCACAATTTTCTGTAAAAGGGCTCGACTGACACCTGTGGAAAACTAGAAAGTTCACTGTCCCATACACAAGGCAACAGGCCATCTTTTCCACCTTGGAAAGCTCGAAGTTCATCTTCAAACCAATCCCTGTAAATCAACGAACAGGGGCAGCAAGATGGGTACAAAAAGAGAAGGTTCAAAAGAGAACAAATAAAAGTGCACTCAATATTCAAAAGGCAACAAAAAAAGGAAAGCAAATCCAAAAAAAAATACCTCCCAGGGATCCAAGGACCCAGCCATGAGTCTCTCTTGTCTAAAAGTAGCCTCAGACACGAGCTTTCCTCACAGCCAGAAGGATCCCTTTAATCAGCAACCATAATAAAAAGGACAAGAAACCAGAGTCAGGGAACAAAAACTCCCTACTTGTATATTTTTTACCAAGAATCAGAATAAAAAGAGAAATTATATACATAAATGTAAAAACTAGCTTTACCTAAAAGGGGTAGTACAGATTTGAATAATCTGGGAATGATCACCGCTATATGTCATTGGATCAGGAAGTGATTGATAAGCTATTAAAACTTTGATGATGAAGATGTCTATAGAAGGCTTCATGTTTGGCAGTTGTTTGGCTGCTAGCAATGATACATATGACAAGGCCCTGCTTATTATAATAGGTTACTACATAAAATTCTTACAACAAAAAAATAAGTCCAACATGAAAAAGTAAATGTAAATTGGAAATCCCATCAATGAAACAGAACAAAGGAAGAATAATCCTGTACAAAAATGAATAAAAAAATAACTCATGTTACCTGCTAAGGTATACTAGCACTGGCTGTAGTAAGACCCCATTATTGATGGTGGTTGTAGAAATAAAACATCTTATGAATGCTGTGAGTGCATCAACTGCAGCAGACCATACACTACAAAGGGAAAACAGAAGTTCAATCAACTGATGCCAACTCATAAATATCAACTTTGTAACTTCAAGAATTAATCTGGTTCATATCCTACCCTGATGGAATTTCACCTACAAGACAAAAGCACATAAATACAACCCCTTTCCCCTTTCTTTCTGGTTTGATCCTAGGTACACAACATGCAGGCCTCCTTTCAGACGGTGCCAAGGTCTGCAGTCTGCTGATGTTATAGTGGCTGGATTAGCTAGAAGGATACACAAGATAGAATTGTATTGGGGGCCTAACATCACCAACTAATATATGATGTACTTAGGTCGTTGGGTTGGGAAGTTGCATAAAATAAGAGTAGCATGGCTAACATTCAGTTTTTTTTTTTCTTTTGGTGGTAATAATAGAGAAAATCCTACTTATCAAAAACAAAAGAAAATTCTACCAGAAGAAAAGTTGGAGATCGGGATGTTCGTCTCCCGCCCATAACTCTCCTCCTCAATCTAACCGCCTAAGCTCCAGATCTCTCTCTCAATCTCCGAAACCCTGCTCGCCCACTCAAATCCATCCATTCATCTTTCTTCGTCGTTACGTCACCTCGGATGATTCTTCAGAACTATGAGTATGTTACAAGTTTTTTGGGTTTGGGTTATAAACTGAGACTAAGAAGAGAAGACCGACAACTGAAAAGAGAAGACAGAAAAGACTGACGACTGAGAAGAGAAGACCAAGAAGACAGGCGACTGAAAAGAGAAGACCAACGATTGAGAAGAGTTTGCATTGTTTCAGTCCAAGTCGTCCAGGACCTTTGGTTCGCTTAGGAGAGACATATTGAGGATTTCTTAGCAGAGAGTTTCCTTCCTTTCAGAAGGACTCTAAATGCACCCTCCATTTTAGGAGAACAGGGGGGTAAATGGACTGTGGGTCTGAAGGTTTCATGGCGACTTCAAGGTGGAGACACTTCCTGAAAGTGGAGGCCAAGAATTTTCTGTTCGAGGAGTTAAAAATCAAGGGACAACTTAGCTTGAAGATAAGGGAGAAGCAGAAGGAAACTGTATTGGTAGAAGGAAAAGAAACAGAGGAATGGCTCAAAGATTTTCTGGTTGAGTCTGCAACCAAAGGGAAGAACGCAAGTTGGAAAGAAAGAGTTACAGCAACAGTAAGAAGGTACATATTGGAATGCAGAAGGAACTATAGAGGATTTTACATTACCCTTAAGAGTTCTTTGCCTAGGGTAAGAAACAATTGGTATGCTTCCCAAAGGAAAGGATAGCCAAGGTTGGCAGGGGGCTGCTGAAATTCTTAAGGCTCTTCTGACTAACTGGAAGAAAGAAAAACAGGAGATCTCTCAAGTGGAAGTACTGCAAGCTCCCTCTGAACCTTTGGGCTCCAAGTATGACCCTATAGCTTTGGCTCAAAGTACAGCCACCCCTACAGTAAACATCAATTTCGAGAGAGAAGTGTGGGAAAGGATGCTGGTAGTTGAAGGTAAAAGTCCAGTCTCCTATTGGAAGAAAGTTGCTGATCTTATGCAACACAAGTTGAGGTTAAGAAATACTTTCATATTTAACTCCTTTTGACAGTTTTAAAGCAGTACTCGATCCCCTTGATAATTTGGTGGAAGTTTCTGCTAAGAACTTCCAAGAAGTCTGGGGGCCTTTTGATGTGTTTCATTGGACTCCCTCATCTAACACAAAGACATTTTCAATTATGGATGGAGTGGTGATTCAGGTATTAGGGCTGTCTTTTCATCTATGGAAACATGAAGTAGCCTCTCTCATTGCTGTTCTTTGTGGTGCACGTCTCTATGGTGATTTTTGGGGAGATCTTCGTTCAGCAGCCCTCCTCTTGAGTGGAAGTCAAACCAGAGGAGATCCCTAGGAAAATAATTGTGTGGGTGGACTGTTCATCCCAGTGTGGTTGGTTTCCTCCATTGAAGCTGCATTGTAGAGGGAAAAGATGAACAAGTAGAGGCACAGGTGCTACATGGAAGGTTGGGATTGGAAGTTCAGAGGTCTGACAGAAGGATGGGATTGAAAGATCAGAGGTTTGACAGAACTTTCACAAAAATGGATAAGCAGGCTTTAGCTCCTCCAAAAGAAGTGGGTAGATTAGACCTATGCCCAGGTGGCAGATAAAGGCACAAAGAACAGGCTTTTAAACACTTTAGGGGGTCTTTCCTCAAAAGGAAAACAATTTAAATTTAATCTAGCTGCAGAAAAGACAAGGGAGTCTCCAATTAAGGGCGAACCAGGGGGGCCTCTAACTTAAGTTGTCACGTGAGGGCCCATATTAGCACTCATAAGCCTGCAGAATTGTGTGGGCCAATTTTTCCAGAAGGAAATGACCCAGTTAATTTGATTCCACTTGGCCCATCTGTCAAATTGGCAAATGGACCAAGTCTAGAAGGCACACCAGCCTCAAAGGCACATGATCACTTAAGTAGTCACATGCCAAAGGGTCTCCTTTCGATAGACACTAACTGTGGTCTACCTTCTTCCTCAAGCCCTGCGAATCAGGTTTCAGCCTCAACCCAGAATGGGAGCACTTCACAGTGGAAGAAGCTACAAAATCTCTCATCCGACCATCACAATCCCCGAAGTTTCAGACGCAGTCAGTTAGAAATGGAGGAAGACAGCTCCAAGGAGGATGAAATAGTCAGCCTTGGTAGTGTGGATCTCTGCTGTCAAAGTCGATCTTAGAGGATGAAAGCTTTCACACAGACTTGCTTTTCTTAGAAGATGACGCCTTGGGCCCATCAGAAGACGTCCAGGGGGAAGTTTTGTAAACTCTCAAGTCACCAAAATTGGTGGTAAATCCAGCAACACACTCTTCATCGAATCAGAGGAACATGAATCTTTTTGTTCACAGAACATAGATTCAGCGGTTGGGGGACAAAATGCTAAGGTGGATTTGGATGTTATAGTTAACACAAATTTAATAGAACCAAAAAGACTTCTACTTTCTCCTCAGACACAAGGTTTGGCGGCAGCCCCTGATTACCTTTCTGGGACTTCAGAACCTTCGTCCTCAACCCATATTGGTATAGGTATGTCTGTTCATTTGGTTTTTGGTACTGATGTGGGTTCTGTGCTTGAAATAGGTATCTCAGCTTTTCAACCGGAAAGAACAGCTATTAGAGGGGAAGGTGTGGGCATAGCTAATGGTTGTATTGAAAAAGAGAGAAAGCTTCAGATGAGAAAAAAGCAAGAGGAGTTAGAGAGAATCTGGAATCTAATATGTGCTCTTCTAGAGGAGTACATGCAAAGGGAGGGGTTGGGTGAATTATCCAAGCACCAGGGGAGTGGGAAATAACAGAAAGAAAAAGAAAAGAACTGAGGTAGAGAGGCTGATTTCAGATATAGAAGGGGACATTGAGTTTAGTGGCAGAAGGGGAAGAAGAAACACTCCCAAGTAGGAGCCTTTAACCTTAGTTGGGCTCTAAAATTTTGTTTCCCATGAAAATCATCAGTTGGAATGTGAGGGGCCAATGTGTATGGCCCTAATATCTATAAATCATCAGTTGGAGTTAATAGGAAACTTTTCGATGTCTGTAAAGTTCAAGTCGATGAACAATGGTTTCGTTTGGGTGTTGACCAATGTGTATGGCCCTAATATCTATAGAGAGAGAAATGAATTTTGGGAAGAGTTATATGGAATCTAAGGGCTATGGGAGGGTCCTTGGTGTTTGGGTGGCGATTTTAATGTATAACGCTACATTAAGAGACAAATAACCCCCAACAGCTCATTATAACTAGTATGAGAAAATTTAATGATTTTATTAATTGTAGTGAGCTTAAGGAGCTTCCTCTTGTGCATGGCCTTTTTATTTGGTCCAACTTCTAAGAAAGCCCAACTTGCTCGAAGCTTGATAGATTCCTTTTTAACGAAAGTTGGGAAAATCATTGGAGAGACTTGCTATCCAAACCTCTACCTAGAGTTACCTTCGACCATTGTCCCATTGAGCTAGGACAAGAACCTTTCAGGAGTGGACCCAAACCCTTTAGATTCGAAAATATGTGGCTGACACATCCAGATTTTGTAAAAAAGAATGGGGAATGGTAGAATCAAGATATGAGGAGGGTGAAGTGAAAAGGGGTAAGGTTTCATAAGAAGTTGAAAAGCTTCAAAGGGAACTTAAGAGAACGGAATAAGGACCTTTTTGGGAGAATAGAGGAACAGAAATCCAATCTTATGACCCAAATAGAGGACCTGGATGAGAAGGAATCTCACCGGACCATGAATACTCAGGAAAGAGAACTAAGGTGGAGGTTGAAAAAGGAATTAGAGGAGGTTCTTTTGTGAGAAGAGATATCTTGGAGGCAGAAATTTAAGCATAAATAGATAAAGGAAGGTGACGGGAATACCAAATTTTTTCATGAGATAGCCAATGGAAGAAGGAAAAACTTGGTGACTAAACTTGAAGTGGATGGTGTGGAGTTGGACTCTCAAGAGGAAATAGCCAATTGTTTTGTAGCGCACTTCAAATCTATCTTAAGGAAACCTCTAGCTAGTTGAGTGGAGTTGGCTGGGTTGGATTGGCCTACATTGTCTAAAGAGATGAAATTGTGGTTGGGAAGGAGTTTTGAGGAGGAGGAAATCCGACAAGCAGTTTTTTCAATGGATAGATCTAAGGCACCAAGGCCAAATGGCTTTACTATGGCTTTCTTTCAAGATTGTTTGAACATAATTGAAGGAGACTTGTTAGAAGTTTTAAAGAATTTGAGGAATAGTCTATCATTAGTCATGGATTAATTCCACTTTCCTAGCCCTAGTCCCTAAGAAGAAAGAGGCCAAACATCCCAAAGACTTTATGCCAACCAGCTTGGTAAAAAGCATGATACTGGCAAAGGTCTTATCTTTGAGGATAAAAAAGGCTCTTCCCCCCATCATAAGTCAAGCTTAAGGTGCTTTTGTTCATGGTAGACAAATAGTTGACCAAATTTTAATAGAAAATGAAAGTGTGGAAGAGATGAGAAGATTGGGTAGGCAAGGTTTTGTTTAGAAATTGGATC